CACGTACCGTGATAAGAACTGGGAGAAAATTCAAGTGCTCTGGAAGGACGAACAGTTCGTGAGTCCTCTAGAGTGGCATCCTTCCTGTTGTCAATGACAAGAAAAAATCTAGAGAATTCACAATTAGCATTCCTGTCAGAACATATTCTTTCGTTGCAAATACTGTCACGAGCAGCGGGCACAATTGGTCTTAAATGTTAATTTTATACCTTTTTGTGTTATTTGCTGTTGTCGAAAATAAACTTCTTAACATCTAACAGATATCAAAATTTTGCCCGAACAAAAAGACGCGCAAAATGAATCGTCAAAATATCATTAAAACGATGAAAGGTGTAGCAGGTTGTCTCGTCTGGTAGAAGACCAAGGTGCTTCACACTAGATGCCTCATGTTACGAAGTTTCCGTCTGTCATATTATCATGTCCATTGTTTTTTTTTATCTCATTATCATGGTTCACCGGCTGCTTGAAAACAGTTTTGTTTTATCGTGTGAAAAACTTATTTACTATGAGCAATAGGATAACTGTATTTGGTATAAAACATCCTTTCAAGGTCTACATGTCCGTCAGACAGGTTTCACCTTACCTCGACCTCATTTCGTGGATCAGTGATCAAGGACTAGTTTTCATGGTTAAGTCCGTATCTCAGATGCTCAGTATAAGCAATAGGTCTGACAACTATATTTTAAGTATGGAATGATTATAAGGTGTACATTTCTGACTGGCAGGTTTCATCTTACCTTGACCTTTTTTCATGGTTCAATGAATTTACAATGTCAAATTTTTGTGGTTTCGTTTATTTCTCAAATACTATAAGCAATTGGGCACAATATTTGGTGTATGGAAATTGTCTGGTAGGTTTCATATGACCTTGACCTCGTTTTCATTGGTCAATGTCAAGTTTTCATGGTTTTGTCAGTATATTGAATATTATAAGCAATAGGTCAACTATATTTGGTGTAAGATTGTGTAGTGTACATGTCTGTCTGGCAGGGTTCATCTGACCTTAATCTCATTTCATGGTTAATTGGTCAATGTTATTTTTTCATGGTTAGGTTTGTTTTTCAGATGTTATATATATATATGCAATAGGCTGACTATATTTGGTGTATGGTATGATTGTAAAGCGTACCTGTCTGTCTGGCGGGGCTCCTCTGACCTTGATCTCATTTACATGGATCATTGATAATGGTAAGTTTATATAATATTTGTAGTAAAACCTTCATTATATAGACTTTCAACATATGTTCAGTCATGATAAGTATTAAAAGCAGGCGAGACATTTCAGCGTGTGCACTCTTGTCTTGGTGAATATGTTCCATGCATTGTGCACACCTATATTTGATATAATCAGAATGTAAGTACAGTGTATCTATCTTTTTAAGCCTCCTTTGCTAGGGAACTCAAGTTATTATGTACCATAAGCTGATTCTTCAAATAGACAGACCAGAGGATCAGAAACGTTACTTTTTAAAGTTTATATATGTTAACTTTTACTTCCGTCCAATACCTTAATTAGGCCCAACAGCCGATAGTACTGAATTAACTACTCTATTGTACACTTATAAAAAGTCTAGCGCAAATATAGTTCGTAATTATACATGTTCTTTATACAATAAGGAAATGCGGTACGATTACCAATGAGACAACTACCTAACAGTCCAAAGGAAGCGTATTTTAGCAACAATAGGTTACCGAACGGACTTCAACAATTATAAAAACACGTACCGTATAGTTTGCTATAAAAGGCACAGACAGCAACCAACGGTAACCACTGAATTACAGCCTTTTGAATTGGGACAGACACATATAAAACGTTACAGGGTTAAACATGTTTGTGAGCGTTCAACCCTATACCATTACCCGATACAGTGGTGTAACTGCACAACATAAATACAAAAGACACAATACCGATATATGTGTATTCGCTGTTTCTGAAAGCTACACGTAGTTCAAAGTCAATAGCTACTAATAATTAAATCATGTTCTCCCAGACTAAAGTATCAGTCAATACACATAAAATGAATTTAGTGTAAAGGCGTCATAAGGACGACCTTGTGTGGACCTTTAACTACTTCAGACTATGACATTAAAAAAGTACCCTGAGGTTTTGAAACTAAACATTTGAGATTAAAATAAGATCCACGCGCAGTTACATAAAATCTAAACATTGTCGAAGATCAAGAGGTACGGATATTGTTTAAAAGGGACCTTGCCATCATAAAAGGGAAAACTGTCGTTAAATACACAGAAGCTGTTTCGATATCTGCATCCAATAAATGTTAAACAACGAATATTTCTGCTCTACCGACTTAATTTGGTACAATTTCATTTGTTAAGAAACTTATTAGAAAATCTTGTTATAAATCTTAGTACGTTAACACTGGTATTAACTTTTTGTGGGAATTTTAAAAGTTCGGATCTTCGTAAGTCCTAGATATGCTGCTTCTGTTTGAGAGTCAATTTGGTTACCATGACAGTTATGAGTTTTTATTTTGCCTATTTGTTTCTTCTGTCTCGATTTTTTTATGAGATTTTTATTTTATATCTAACCAATAGTCAAGTTCCAGATTATGATCACATACTCTAAATATTGTGATAAGTTTACGAATTTCAAAGTTTGAATTTGATAAGTGAAATTATCTCTCTGTATCTAAATTATTTAGTTTCAGACACGTACTTGTAGTAGATAAAGAGTTTATTTTGTTCACATGGATTTTCAAAATTATTTGTATAGAGACTGTCAAATGATGATTAGAAATTCCAACCGTAATCACAGTTGTTCAGTGATTTAATCAACTTCCTTTAAAGTTTTGTCAGAAGATAGCTTTTTAGGATGAACCATCTCTTTAGAGGTTCATCAAAGGATTTGTATATAAAACTAACTAACTAACCTACTAGTTTTATTCAGTATAAAATCCAGTACAAAAGGGTCATTGCTGAAATTAATAAAAATCAGAAAGTACCAAAAAAAATTATAGAAACAGCAAAAAAGACAAGACACACACATAAATTATCATGATTATGCAGTTATTCCCACTGATGAATTTCTGATTATAATACATTTATATATATATATATATATATATATATATATATATATATATATAAATGACTGAATAATAGCCAACGATAAATCTTACGGTGCGATGGATCATATAAATATGATACAGTACACTACAAAATATAATATATAACCAGTCTAAAAGGGTACAACATCACCAAAAAATGACAATAAACGAACAAATGTAACTATAAATAGTCCGGATAACAGATATCCTTCATCAGTATGAGCACGATGTAAAATGAATCGGATCAATCTATTCTGATTATTAAACTATAGCAATCTTGAATTCTATACAATAAAAAAAGTGAAACAGTTTCACCCGAACATCATATGTAGAGACGCTAATAAATTTTTAAAATTTCCAAAAAACGACTCAAAGACATGCCTAAAATGAAAATAGTAATTAGAGATATGAACTGGCACAACTCTAAAATTCCAAAATGACGTCAGTTAAGATGTTACAACAACTGCGTGTAAATACATTCCCCAAAAAACAGCACTGATCGATGTAAGCTGGTAAAATATGTCAAACAGAGGCTGCGTATTTATCATCCCAAATAAATGGCAGTTTTATAATGAAAAGAAAAAATAATAGTAAATTTGGGCTAAGGTTAAATAATTGGACGTGGATGCGTACTTGTACATCCCTACCAAATGAAAAAAACCCTGGTATTTAAACTAGTAAAATTCCAAAAATTCCAAAAGAATCCTTAAAACTGTAAGAGTCAAGTAAGAAAGCCGGAGTAACTGGAAACAAATGATGTCAGTCGGGAAAATGAGTGATGGTAGGGAAAATGAGTGACTCATTCTATGTTTTTTCATTTATACCCTCTGGGGAAACTGTCCTTAGCTTTCTTATCCAAAAACCTTTCCCGAGCAAGTCTTTCGGCCCTTGACCAACCCTCGTTGTGGTCTATGATAGTGATTGTAAGGTTTTTGAGATCAGATTGGGCGTGCCACATCGACACTGAAGAAGGTAAACAACATTCGTCGATGTCTGACTTGCCAACAAATACTGAATACTCAAACATTTACTTGCCACTCCACTGGGTCTGTGTACACTATATTTTGTAATGTAACCTGCAAAACACAGAATGTTGTATACCTTCTTCAGTGTCGATGTGGCATGCAGTATATTGGCGAGACAGAACAATCATTCAACAAACGCATGAATGGTCACCGAAGTGACTACACCTGCAAGCCCGACCTCCCCGTAAGTCGTCATTTGAGATCACCTGGGCACGCCCAAGCTGATCTCAAAAACCTTACAAGATTTCACAATCATAGACCACAACGAGGGTTGGTCAACTAGGGCCGAAAGACTTGCTCGGGAAAGGTTTTGGATAAGAAAGCTAAGGACAGTTTCCCCAGAGGGCATAAATGAAAAAAACATAGAATAAGTCACTCATTTTCCCTACCATCACTCATTTTCCTGACATCATTTGTTTCCAGTGTATATATGTCTCTGTTGCTTCGAAACATTCAATTTTGTATAAGTCTCAGGTTTATATTCCCTTTTTAGCTTGTAATATGTATATGATTTGTTTTGTTCTTCACCTGATAAACGTGAAAAGAAATATTTTTCATATCTTTCTTGTAATCTATTTTTCACTGCACTGAGATATAAGTTTTCCTTAGACTGACAGTGTTTCTTATATTATTCCAGATATGGTTTATATACTTAATTAAATCCTCTGGTATATAAAAATATATTTTGAACATCTCACATTGTACAGATTTCAAACAGGGCTAGTCAAAAATAACAATCTTTTTTATTGATTAGTGCATACTTCAGCAAATATTTGTGTTTTTGTATATTTACAGTTTGTTTATATTTTTGCGCCACGTGGATGACACGCCCACCTTTAAATACAACGGGTACGTTTAAACCAATCAAATGACCGAAACTGACAAGGATTAAACGCGCGGGAAAATGGTAAACAAAAACAGTACCAAACGTTTCCGGTTTCGCAATCAACAACCTGCCAGCAGACAGCAATGGAAAATTTTCAGAAAATAGAAAAGATTGGCGAAGGCACTTACGGAGTTGTGTACAAAGCAAGAGATAAAACAACAGGTCGACTTGTAGCACTGAAGAAAATCAGACTTGATGCGTACGTGGCTTTCATGTAAAATTTATAGTCTATGAACATGCATAATTTTTGGAAGTCCACTGTCCAGTCATGACACATGCTGTTTTTCAGCTATTGCTGCCCAAATCAGACAACAGATCTCTATGAACGAATTATTATCCTAATAAGGATAAGGGCAAACTAGAATAGATCCTCAGATATTTGAGTAGCCGTGATCATGATGGGTCAAAGAATCCTGAGGATAAAAAGTAATAAAACACCACCAACTAGGCAGACTTATAAGTTATAGAAATTATAGATCCTCAGATGTTTGCGTAGTCGTGATCACAATTTGGTCAAAGAATCCTGAGAATAAAAAGTACCAACATAAAATTAAAGAAAAATCAATGGTTGGAAAGAATATACTGACATTTAAAATAAAACATTACAGGTCGACATTCCGTAGGCACTTGTCTCTGAAAAAAAAATCACCGATACTTTAATATAACTCAATGTACTTAACTCATATTTTTGAAAAATGTCACCCAGTTGAGAACTTCCGTTATATTTAGTTTTCTAGGTTGTCTATTGCACTCAAACTTGTTAATGTTATGCTGTAAATCTTAATTGATTAATGTACACAATGGTGTATAACACGCCTACCTTTGTTGTCAGAATCATTCATAGCAGTAACCATTTACTGCGAGTCTTATATTCCCAATCAGCTGCAATGTGGGAAGACGAAATAATTATGGTTGACATACTTGGGGAGGCCTGCTACGAATAATTCCGACAACAAAGGTAGGCGTGTTATACACCATTGTGTAGATGAATCAATTTAGATTTACGGCAATAGTTTTAGTGGGGTAGACGACTGAGAAATCGAAATAAAACAGAAGTTCGCCACCGTGTGACATTTTTCAAGAATGTGAGTTTAGTACCTTGTGTTATATGAAGGTATGTACATGTATTTAGGAATTTTTTTTTCAGAGGCAAGTGCCTGTGTGACATTCATGTGCTCAGCAAATTGGCATGACTATATGGAGAAAATGATCACTAGACTTACATATAAACAAGACTTTTCTCTGACAGTGACATTAAAAAAAAATATATACCTTCATAAAACATAAGGTACAACTTGCATATTTCAAGAGATGGAAGTCAGGTTGAGTAATTTCATTATTTTTCTATTCTGTGGTCATCTATAGACTATCCCAATAAAACTTAATTTGCCTTAAATCTACATTAATTTATTTACACAATGGTGTATAACAATCTACCTTAGTTTTGTTGGGAAAGCAGTTGAATAAAACATGTCCCTGTACATGTACTTTGAATTTTTCAATACATGTAAGTTGAAGCAACTGTAATAAATTTAGTCACACATTTCTCAAGTACTACATGTACACAACAGAATGATTTTTATATTTGATCAACAGCTTGGCAGTGATTGGTTGTGAGATGTGAGTGCTTTAAGAGTTGGACGGACACCTGTTTCCGATATACTTTTAATAACAAGTTATTGATATACCGATATACAGATTATGTCTACAACTGTTTTTTTTTTATAAATACAAACTGAGATTACTATAACTATAGGTTATAGTAATCTCAGGTACAAGCAAACTGGAAGATGTGTTGTTGGTTCATTTTTCTCTCTCAGAGGAATCAGTTGCTGGTGACGATCTGATTTTTGGTACAATGGTAGATTTTTGTTATTCCTATTATTCTTATGTTTAATGTTGATATTCAAATTTATTTCATAATTTTCATTTTACTTGCTGGTTAAACCAAAGCGGAAAGTAAAATGGCTGTTTTTTTCAATATTTTTTGTAGAGAATCTGAAGGAGTACCTTCTACAGCTATCAGGGAAATATCTTTACTTAAAGAACTTGACCATCCAACAGTTGTCAGGTAAGATGTTCATTAAACTTAGTGTAAGGTATTAAACTTGAACCCAGACATATGTTCTGATATAAACAGTTTACTCTGATATTGTGACAATAATTGTGTCTTCCCTTTCAAAGTTAATATGTTTATAAAAAAAACCTTTCCCAGTTAATTTTCAACTGATATAATTCACAAATTGAACCATTTTATTTTGAAACTAGCATGTAAAATTGAGAATGGAAATGGGGAATGTGTCAGAGAGACAACAACCCGACCATAGAGCAGACAACAGCCGAAGGCCACCAATGGGTCAAATGCAGCGAGAAACTCCCGCACCCGGAGGCGTCCTTCAGCTGGACCCTAAACAAATATGTATACTAGTTCAGTGATAATGGACGTCATACTAAACTCCAAATTATACACAAGAAACTAAAATTAAAAATGATACAAGACTAACAAAGGCCAGAGGCTCCTGACTTGGGACAGGCGCAAAAATGCGGCAGGGTTAAACATGTTTTTTGAGATCTATACCCCTATACCTCTAGCCAATTTAGAAAAAACAGACGTACAACAGTACACACAGTAAAACTCAGTTTAAGAGAAGTCCGAGTCCGATGTCAGAATAGGAAACAAAAGAAAATAAACAGAATGACAATAATACATAAATAACAACAGACTACTAGCAGTTACTGACATGCCAGCTCCAGACCTCAATTATCTGATTGAAAGATTATGTCTTCATCATATAAATATCAGGCACAATCCCTCCTGTTAGGGGTTTAGTATTATACCATCATAAAATATATGAGAAGAACATAACCCGTGTCATGCCAACAACTGGTTTTAGAATAAATATGTTTAATTCCGATGCAAAGACCCTATAAATGAATCAATATTAAAGCCAAAATATGCAATCTTTAATGACCTGACAACAGTATCGTAACTATATCCCTTCTTAATAAGTCTGTTTAAAGGTTTTGTTAGCTTTTGAGGTGAATACCTAGATGTTTGCTGAAATTTTCTGAGATGTTTTCTCAGACTAGTCCGCAAAAAATATCTAGCAGTCAGTGTCTGTAATTGTTACCAATTTCAGAAAAATATCTGGTGCTAGAGTCAGCCACCAGAGATCACAGTGCATGGACATGTATTCTGACATGATAATTTTCCACAAAATTTTCAATCATCATGAAAACACCAGGTCAGGGATAAGGGTTGACCTAAATTTATAACTTTGAAACAGTTTTCTATGAGTAATGTAAGGTCACAGGGAATGGTTGGTCTCACGGTAGAAAAACGAACTTCGTGTATTGTAATAAACTAGCTATGTATATAGTTCACCTGTTAAGTAACAAGGTTATCACTTATTTAGAATCTATCAACATGATCAATAACCACAAATTTAAGCATCTTACATTTTGTTAATCAATCAGCAAACATGAATTTTAAAAGGGAAATTCCTGAAATGATGATACTGTTTGTTAACAATGAATGATCTTCATCAATAAAGATGCTGTTCAACTTTTATGAGAAGTTCAATAGTAGAGTTTTATTTGAGTTATAGTTGAACCAAGTAACTGACAAGTGTAATAACCATGATAACATAAACAGTTCCAATTTTACTGCACCAGATGTGCATTTCCACTATTAATGTCTCTTCAGTGATGCTTCAGACCAAAATATTAAATATTACCATTTTCTATATGCACCAATGAGAAGTAAGTACCAACAGAACAAGTGTCAAACTTTATTTAACCAAGCTAATATCAGCATTTTTTGTGCAGATGTACCTACATTTCATACAACATTTCAATTTAGCCAGCTGACATTGATATTTTATTATCCTCCCATAAACAAATATGGCTCGCATTTGCAGTAATAATAAAGAGAAAATGGGGAAACTGTGCATGAAACAAAACTTCCTGACATACACAAATATAGATCTTTTTAGTGATAATAACTTTAAATTAAACAACAGCTAAAACAACAAATTGCAATTCTTTAGATTACTGTCAACATGGTCATCTCACTATGACTAATGGTGCCCTTAAATATATTAATGATCTGGAGAAACAATACAAATATAACTAGGTTAATTACAAAAAGGGGTAATAGGCATTACAGTAACACACATAGAGATCGTACATGTTGTACTTTAGGAATACTTTACCTTGAAGAATATTTAAGGATAATAGAACAGTGTTTGAAGAGTTACCACCGTCAAATCACAAATTGACAGTGAGTACTCTTCAAAAACAGTACGATTATTTCACTAATAAAATGTTGTTTCTATTATAGATTGCTTGATGTTGTACATAGTGAGAAAAAGCTTTATCTAGTTTTTGAATATTTAAATCAAGATTTGAAGAAGTACATGGACAGTTGTCCCCCTTCAGGGATGCCTTCATCATTAATAAAGGTAACAAAGATAATTTAGCTTTATAGTACATGTATCATAAATATACATATAACACAAACCCACAATAAAAACAAAAAAATGAAATGAAACAGCTGCACCTTTCAGAATTATGTAAATTTTGTTAATAGAAACAACTGTGTGATGGAACACTATAGAATGATGTAACAGATATTTAGAAGAATATGCTTACTATAATATGTTGATCAGATGGAAAAATAGAGTTATTGATTTGGGGTGGTGCGATGAGCAGGCAGCTCCAGCTGATTCCCTGCAATAACTTGAGAATCCTATGACTAGATCTTTTCAAATTTTGATATGTTGTTACTGATGAAAAAATGGAGGTCAGTTCCAATATTGACGATTTTCACTTTTGCTATTCTGGAGTAGTCTTCCTTGATTGATTTGGAAATTGGATTTTATGTTGTTTCTGTGTTATAACTTCAGTATGTTTGATCAAATCCTTTTCAAATTTTTATTTGTTGTTTCTTGTTACAAAATGAAGGTCATGATTGGTTTTGACGATTTTCACCTTTGCTGTTCAGTAGTAAAATATATACCCTTCATTGCTTTAACCGTGACACTGATTAATGTAAGAAAAACTCAGTTTGCTGTCATTTTGACAGTTTCATGTTTATTTTCATCTAATTTTCAACATGCCCAAGTTAAATGCAAAAACTGTACATCAACCATCTGTGTCCTCATTAACAAAAGAAATCTGAAACTGGTTAATATATTTTTTACATCAAAACTTTGTCAAGCCTAAATTGAATTTTAAAAAACTTTGGCAGAAGTTTCTTCTTGTTCATAAAACATTGTCAGGGCAAAATTTTAAAATATTATTTCCATTTTCAAATTTTTTACTGATTTATATATGGATTTTGGTTGTTTTTTATTCCCGTCGCACCAGAGGGGGCATTAAGTATTAGTACTATTACCCTTGTCCGTATGTCCAAAAATTAGTTTCTGTTCTCTAACTTTAGTTTTCCTCAGCCAAATGTTATGAAACTTATACACAATGCTTATTTCCACAAAACACAGATCAAGTTTGAATTTGGGTTGCGTCACTTTTACCATTCTTGAGTTATGTCCCTTTATAACGTTATATGCAAGCAGGTGCATCATCTGTGTCCCATGGACACATTCTCCATTTTATTTTTTTTGCAGTAAGCATTTCTATACAGTTTGGGGTTTACAGTTTTTAGAAATCAGTAACTTTGTCAAACCTTCAGTGAATTTTATTTAACTTGGAAAGAAGCTTCTTCTTGATCAGAGACAGCATCTGGAGCCAAATTTTTATTTAATTATTTTGCCGTCAACATTTTTTTCACTGACAGTAGCAGTCATATGCTAAACACAAGGTTCCCCTGAACCCTTTCGATTTTGTTTATTTGATGGAGGCACCATGAAAAGTCAGTCCATGGTAGGAAAATTGATGTGAATAAAAAGTTTTGTTGAGTGATCTATTGTAACTCTTAACCACAGCAAGCCTGTAACTCTTAACCACAGCAAGCCTGTAACATTAGCAAAAACTTGTAAGAATGCATGGAAGAGTCAAATTTCTTTTGATCATAAAAGTAAACTTTGTTTGTTTTGTTGATGTGATACTAGGATGTTTTGTTGTATCTATCATACAGTAGCTTGATATAAAGATTTTCAGACTTTACAAATAGATGTCTGTATTTTTTGCATTCAGAGTTACCTGTACCAGCTGCTACAAGGAGTTGCCTTTTGTCATGCACATCGAGTCCTACACAGAGATTTAAAACCACAAAATTTGCTAATAGATGTGGATGGTAACATCAAACTAGCAGATTTTGGTTTGGCAAGGGCATTTGGTGTTCCAGTTAGGACATATACACATGAGGTATGATTTACTTATTTTTAAATTTTTTAAGTATTTCAAGTATTTGAATTGAGGAAAAAGTTAATAAACAAATAACTCATGAAATCAATAAGTTAGATTTCAGATTTTATGATTAAAATGAATGAAGGTAACATTTAGTACATGTATTTCTTTATGAGATGAATTGTTATTTCCTTTATACATGTTTTAAATGTTAATGTGATGTTTTTTTAAAAAAGAATGGTGATTAGAATTGATAACATTCTGGTTAACAACCCTGCCTGACATTATCTATGGAATATATACAGAGATGTTTAAGAGTAAATAGCCTACAAACACAAGCATTCACTGAAATTTTCCAGCAAGAGTGATTTTAACTGAATTATCACTTCGTACATATTGTTAAGTATATCCTGTGAAATTAAATTTTGATATGATGGATAAAATAAAATACATTTCATTTTTTTGCTGTTTTAATTATTGATATTGACATTTACATAAATTCCATTTTACTTTATTCAGTTTGTGGGTGAAAGAACCAAGTCTATACACATTCGTAAACTTTGAAGAAATTATGATTTTAAGTATATTATAAACAATATTTCACACTAACAGGTTGTAACATTATGGTATAGGGCACCAGAGATATTATTAGGAAGCAGGTTTTATTCAACACCAGTAGATGTTTGGAGTTTAGGCTGTATATTTGCTGAAATGGTAAGAAATAAATGACACAAACATATAGTAAACCTATAAAAAGACCAAACAACCCAGATATGCATAACATTTTATAACGGTCAGTGGGTTAATCTCAATCACCAATGAAGTTCCTGGCTACTGATACTAAATGTATGGCAGAAGCATTAATTTAATGTATGTATTTTATTAGTGGCATGGACAGTTCATATATATTATCAATATATACCTGTGTATGCTTGAAAAACTGATTCTAGGATTTGTTCTTGCAATAGTCATCTTCAAAATAATTCTTTTGACAATAACGCATATAATTATACATAAGTATTTATACTTAATTGAATGGAAAGGATCAATATAGTTCATTGATTTCATGGCATAAAACACCATAAAAACTAAAAAGCAAAAGAACAGTGCTGTTATAGCTGCTATTCATCTCAAAGTCACAAATATGCCTTCAACATGGAGTAAACACTCACGCTCCACTGCAGGTTAAATATGGCCCCTAGAACAGATTTCAGCAGAATACTATTCTAGATGTCGATCGGGCAAAATATGGAACTAATGCAAATATTTAGACAACCATTTGGAACAATAAGTTTTGGCAGGAAATAATGTCTAAATATAGGGCAAATTCTTAAATATGGTGGACTGCATGATAATTTCAGAAAACAAACAGGTTGAAATAGAGAAAATGTAGTTGTACTCATAAGAGATCTTATTTACAAAACTATTATTCCATAACTGTCAAATTAATAAGAGCAATATTGATTCCGTTTTTTGCATAGCCTATTTGTCAGACAAAATTATGCATTTAAGCAAAGTATACTTATATCCGATATGTAAAAGTACGGGGTCAAACAAGATCAATAGTGATAGAATTCCTGGAAGAATAATGAAAAGCTTTTTTATACTTTATGTAAACAATACAAAAGTGCATATGATATTAAAAAATGATAATAATAAAATTGAGAATGGAAATGGGGAATGCATTCAAGACAATATACTTACTAAATTGCAGTTTCTTGTAAAAATGATCATCAGATTTTATCTAAGCATATCTATCTGGCGTTTTTTTTCTATGCAATTAACTGAAAGGCCACTTGTCAGGCTATGCAATTAACATTAGATGAATAGGAAATGGTTTTGTGCAGGAGAAAATTATGCAATTAATCCAATTACATATATTTTGTTGTAGATGACAAGAAGAGCATTATTTCCAGGAGATTCAGAAATTGACCAGCTCTTCAGAATATTCAGAACTTTAGGTTAGTTAATAAATCATTCAGGCCAAAAATTGTTGTTTACAAGACATGTTCAAAGTGTATCAAATTTTGGCTTTCTCAGTTTTTCACAAACTCTCTATTGACTTGAATTTTAAACAATTCATGAATTGATCATTTATTTTTACAGAAATTATGTCTTATTCTATTGAAAATTGCATTGTTAGCAGTCTCATGCCTTTAATTCTTGTCTGATTTATAATAAAGATTAAGATCAGCCAGGGATTGGACAAGTTTGAATGATAATAGTGCAGATCAATTATTTTTACACTTTTCTAAGGTACTACTGAACAGGAATTCATATTTGGTCAACAGCTAACAGTGGTGAGTTGTAAGTTGTGAACGTTTTTCCAATCTGTCAAACACTTCCTGTTTTCTGATACATTGATGTATGAGTAAGGTATGCTTAGCAAGACAATGGATGCAATTTTGTTGAAATTACTGCCTATGGACTGATCAAATATGTGCAACAGTGGGGCATTTAATGCTGGTCTCTAGGCATGTCTTACATACCTCAATTAATTATTTGTATATACATTAAGTGTTTTGCAATATACATATATTTCAGGGACACCTGATGAAACAGTATGGCCAGGTGTATCACAGTTACCAGATTTTAAATCCACTTTCCCTAAATGGCCTCAACAGGCAATTTCCTGTACTGTCCCTCATATTTCAGGAGATGTTTTAGACATGTTGGAAGTAAGTTGAAAGATATTTATTTCTATTAGTTATAAAAATCATACAATTTAGGTCTTGGTTTAGACAGAAACAAGTTTTGTAATAGTTTTTACATGAACAAAAAATCACTGATGTCGAAAAATATATATATGATAGGTTTTACTTTTGTGCAATATTTGTTGCCATTTTTAATCATCTGTAAAATTGTACTGTTCTCTTACCACATCAAATATGGAATTGTGTGTAAGGCAGTTCCACATATTTTCTTTTTCATAATGAAATCATGTTCTTTTTAAAGAATTCTTTAAAATTTATTTTCAGCAAATGTTAAAGTATGAACCAAGCCAAAGAATATCAGCTAAAGCAGCTCTGAGTCATCCATACTTCAATAATGTCTGTAAACAAAGACCACCCCAAATCCTGAAATGAAAACAATGGATGATGTAAATGGATCTTATAAATCAAATTTCTACTTTGAAAGTAGAAGAGAAAACTATTTTCTGAAGAAAGAATGACCAATCAGAAGTGATTTAAAAATGATACCTTTTAAAATGATTTTTAATATTTATACATTTTTGTCTCAAAGTCAGTAGACTCCGGCAAATCGGATACCCAAAATGTCAGCTAAAAATATCCGATTATCCGATATATTCAATTAGACGATGAATGTATATTCATTGAATATTCTGCAATAATGAGTAGATCTAATCCTGAGATGTTACTAACCCTGACAATTGCTAAATATGTGAAAGGGCTGGAGGATTGATGGAGTGATTTTTATCAGTTACATCACCACGATGTTTTTTAAAAAGATTTCAGCTGATTACATAATGATGAAATTTGTTTGCAGTTTTTAAATCCTATATTTATTAAAATAAATTAAATGTCCTGAAAAATGTGAATTATTATCTACCCTCCATAGTTTGTGTCTTTATTTGTTTTGAAAACAAATTAATAACCATTATTTACATTATCACACAGGTAAACTAATTTGGCTATAAATAGATCAAAGCATGTTTGTGTAGAATCTCCAAACTAAAATCGTATTTGTTATAATTTGATTTCTTTAAATAATCAAATTTAAATTGATGAAAATAATCATGATTGATAAAATATAATTGTATAAAGTTTACATTTTCTGAAGACTATTTATGTTTTGGTCATGGTTCTAGAGGCTTCCTCACAAATTTGTAAACAAACCAAAATGGCGGCCATGACATGTGGTTACTTTTGCACATGTGAAAAAAAAATTTCTGACAAAAGTCAGATTTCTCTTGTCAAAAGGGATTTATATTTATATTGCAATAAATTATTCAGAAGGAGGTACATTCAGTTTACATTATATTTCTGGTTGTGTGAGCATTTAGAGTTTTATCAAAATTCCCCAAACAGCATCGTACTGCTCTTGTCAACTGACAAGTCTTGTAAATTCAAACCATTTGAAGTAAAAGGGCATCTAATTCACATGATAAAGGAAGACAATGAATAAAGACAACAATTTATTAAGAAATAGTTCCTTTTTATTTAGTAAAAACGAAATCTTCTTGTCTGCAGGATTGTTAATTCGTAACTTCCGGGTTCATTTCCTGTCAGAAAAACATTGAAAATATCCGATTGTGCATGGTTTTGAACAAAATTACCTGAATATTCTTATCCGATTTGCCGATATATTCTTATATCCGATATTCGATTACCCGATGAAACTAACATTAAACATATAGGGAAGGGTTTGGTGTTTTGAAATAATATTACAATAGCCGATATATTCGTTTAGCCGATATCCGATTAGGTGGAGTCTACTGTATCACTTTTTTAGCATCAAAAGTATGTGACATAGATTCCATGTCTGATTTAGAGGAAGAAACATTAGTTTTTTGTTATTGATAGATCATGTGGTAAGGTGGACCATGTTCAATACATTTTTCATCAACATGAAGTTTCCATGTCTATTAAAAAAGAATAGTAAAGACGAGGAGTCTACATCCTTATTTTTAAGCTGTAGTTTATGAAGAAGTCTCTTTATTTTGATATGCATGTTAATTTTTCCATTGAAAGTTAAACGCAAATCAATTATCATTATCATCAAATTCCTTATTACTGATTTTTATGATATTTTAACAAAGCTTTATTTAGCATTTTTAAAAGACATTACTTCTATCCATTTGTTATATGTATATCATCATTAATCGCTATTAAAATTATTATATGGTCAAATATTTTAAATGTTTTGGAAATTTTTTTAAATCATTTACTTTTTATCTTGGTGTTGTTTTCCCAATCAAAACAATTCAAAGATTGAAGAATCAGGATTTATTTAGTCATGTTCTCCCATAAAATTTATTAAATTTTGTCATTAAAACATCCTAAGTACTAAATATTGTTATAAGTTGCAGAAAGCTGCACATGGGCATTGTTAAAGTTTTATTGGATTGAACTATTATTATACATGTACTGTACACACTTGGTGAATTTTATACAAAGAAAATCACTGGTGATGATTTTTCACAGTGGTTTTGGGTGATTCAGTCTGAACTATGCATATTCCATAAGTATGATATGACTTAGGGCTATTCCATTAAAATGTATGTGGGAGGGTAGGAAGGGACTTTCAATATATCCCTACAACCAAGAACCATTTTTTAGATAATTTTGCATAATGGTAATAGACGCATACTGAAAAAAGACCCATGACCCACATTCAATAATTAAACTTCCCTTCCTACCCTCCCACATACATTTTAATGGAATAGCCCTTACATGACATGATCATGAATTGTATTTTCACCCCAAAACACCAGCAAGTAGCTTGTTTCACAGTTCTCCAATCAACACTGACACACATTGTGTTTAATTGATATACATTATTTTAGTTTTTGCCTCATCATGTTATATTTTGCTAAATGACAATAATGTTAAAATTGTATATAGCATTAAGGTTAATTGAGCTTTTAAAACTTTTAAGTATGATTGTCATCTTCTCTGATGAGGCTAATTATTTCAAAGTTTGCAGAAATGATGTTAAAAATGGTCCTGTACAAATGATTTCCATTTGTTTCTTATCAGATACAAAGGAAAGTATTTGATTCTGATTGACCAATTTCCATCCATCCATGGAAACTAGAGGATGGATGAAAACAAAGCCATCTGAAAAGTTTGCCAGAAATTATCTTCTGTTGTTAATTTTTTTTAAATAATACAGGAACTTTGTTCTGTAAAGATACCAGGTGAGCAAAACAGTAACCTTGGAGACTATTATTATTTTTTTTTAAAGAATGTACTCATTTACATTGATTTAAGTTTCTAAAAAAATGAAGATTAAAAAATTTGGAAAAAGGAAAATTATTGAAAGGCCAATACTGGCCTTAATAATTTAAAGTGGTAATAATTGCACAATATTTTACATGAAAATATTTTGCTCTAGTCGGTTTTATATGAATCAATAAGTGTGTAGTTTCACTCACGATATAACATGTCATTTTGATATACATGTATGCACTGGACAAGAACATTTATAGAAAAAAATGTACGTATCTTATTTAAAATCTTTAAATCAGAATTTCTTTTAACAGGAGATGCATCATCAGTGCATTCTCAGGTTAAAGTATTTGGTTAACAAAGTTAGCATGAAGTTGTTGTCACATCAACTTGAAACTTGGTACATATGTTCATTGTGATGTAAACTTTTGCTTGTAATTATATGTCAAATTATGATTTTTACCCCAATTTTAACATTTCATTGAACAAGGAAAATGATAACATGGACACATATTGTATATGATTATATAAAAAAATTGCAACTTGAAGTGAAAATCATGTATTACTTTTCAGCCCTAAAAGCAATATTTACTCATGATTTAAATCAACAGGGCAACATCATCAGTATTGAACATGCTGATTTATCAGTATTGGGGAGGATTTGCTCATATCATTTAATAATATGATATATATCACACTGTCAGACACTAAGTTATATCAACTTGATACGAAAAATTTAGAAATACCGTTACTACATTTTTGTGAGTACTTCATTTATAAGACATAATTAGGTTTTTTTGGAAAAGCTTCCTTATTTTTTGTTTGTTATTGACATATATATGATTATTTTGTATTTCCATTACTATTGAATTTCATTTCCAACCAATTCAGTTTACTAAGGTAAAAAAATAATTTTCCCCAATACTTCAATGGATCTCTTCTCTTATTAGATGTCAGAAGTTTTAATTACATATATAAAAATAAGATGTGGTATGATTGTCAATGACACAACTCTCCACAAGAGACCAAATGACACAGAAATTAACAACTATTGGTCACCTTACGGCCTTCAACAATGAGTAAAACCCATACCGCATGTACACTTTTGTTTATTTTTATACTTTGTAAGGGTTTTTGTGTGTATATTTGTTATGATGTTGTTATGAATTTTTACTTGTTATGTATGAATAAAATAAATCTAAAAATTTTATATTTCCTTTGTATTTTCATTTATTCCCAATTCTTTGTTCTTAATGGCTCCAACAACAGCACCAACAAAACCAGATCAGAATGTTCAACAGCAATAGCCTGCCTTGGTGAAAGCATTATAGCTTGAGTATGAGAAGATGTCAATTACATCCTAGCTGTGTTAAACCAAAGATTGTAAAATAGATATCTGGTGTACAGAATCATGTTCATCTGACATTGACCTCATTTTCATGGATCATTGTAAACATGAAATATTCAAGAAAATTTAGTATTTATAATGATTGTAAAGAACACATAAAGATGTGGTATGATTGCCAATGAGATAACTATCCAGCAGACTCCAAAGGACGAGGATTTTTAAAACAATAACATGTACATGGCACTTTATGACATTCATAAATGAGCAATACCCATAACTTATAGTAAGCTATAAAAGTTTACACAACAAAATGGGAAAAAATTCAAAAGATAAAACCAAAAGTGTTCATCTGTCTTTGACTTCATTTTCATGATTAAATAGTTATGTTAACTATATTTGGTGTTTTGTCTTTTCAGAATATAGTTGTATAGTTGTCGTGAAATAGAACTTCCTTCATAACATTAGTTCCAGTTGGAATAAATATTCTGGAATATTATTTCCACTGGAACAAATATTACTGTAACATTATTTGTTAATGAATAAAAGGATATAGAATATGTGTTCCAACAGGAACATATTATGGCATTGTTTATAACAGCAGGGGCGGATCCAGCCATTTATAAAAGTGGGGTTCCTAACCCAGGATAAAGAGGGGGTTCCAACTATATGTCCCCATTCAAATGCATTGATTGTCAAAATAAAAGGGAGGGTTCCAACCCCCAGAAAACACCCCCCCCTCTCTGGATCTGCCACTGAACAGTTTCCAAATTGGTAAGGATTTTTATAAGTGTGATGCAAAAAAATAAATGTGAACTATTTAAACCAGCTAAATTGACCTCGATTTTTGTCGAGCCTTCGACTTTTGTCGAAAAAGCGAGACATAGCGATCCTACATTCCGTCGGCGTCGTCGGCGTCGTCGTCGTCGTCGTCGTCGTTGTCGTCGGCGGCGTCCACAAATATTCACTCTGTGGTTAAAG